CGGATTCCGGAACTGTGCTGCATGAGCTGCAACCGCCCCGCACGCGTTTTAAACGGCTGGAGTTGGAGAATTTTGATCGTTTTCATAGGTTTTTCTTCCAGAATCCTCTCATTTTGGCCTTATTCTTCTACCCCGCTTCCCTTTTTGATCAGCAGAACTCCGAACTCGAAGCGGGGTCGAAGAATATGCGCTTTTCTGCTCTGCGTATCCGACCAAATCCTGTTCGTGCGCTTGTCCATTTTCGTTTCGTTTTCTTTTTGCTCAAACCTATTCCATTTGTTTCAGAAAGCCGCTGTGTAGTTTCCGCAGGCATCTGTCTCGAATTAGGATATGCGAACATTCTGAAAATGCGGAAATGGGAACTTTGCTCTTGTTTTCTGATGAATTTCATTTTTGGGCATTCCCAGCCCACTTCCTTTTTCCATATCGTCGCTTCTCCGTTCTCTCTTCTACCCCCGCTTTCCCTAGTATGAGAAAAGCTGCGAACTTGAAGCGGAGTTGAAGAGAGTACGCTGTTCTCTTTTACGTGCATGTTCCGGAGTAGAGAAGAACAACGTTCATTCCTCAACCTTGCTTCAAGTTCACAGCTTTTCTCATCACTAGGAGAAGCGGGGTAGAGGACTAACAAGGGAGCGATACCCAATGTCCGTGGCCTTTTGAGATGAGATGTATATCATTACACTCGCCTTCGAACGCTGAATCCAAATCTGACTTCCGTTTCTGCTAATCGTTTCTCTGAAGGAAGTTATGGAGGAATTTCGAGCCAACTTTATCCGCCGAAGGGTATGGTCACCAGAACGGCCTCTACCGGCGCCATGTTATAGTCTAGTAGTTAGTGTGATAGCCTCATAACTTGATGCAGGTGTAGGTTCAAATCCTTTTGTGTTTTTGTTTTGCACTACCTCAATTAAAATTGTTCGAGATTCACTTGAATTATGGTCGTTGGATACATTTTAACGCAAATAGTAAATTTTTTCCAAATTTCCACTTTTTTTGAAGGGTAAGGGCGTCCAGTTAGCTTGAAGATGCGAAAGAAGTTTATTGAGGCAATGCAAAACTGAAAAACACAAAAGGATCCGAGCCTACAACTGCATCAACTCATGAGCCTATCGCGCTAACCACTAGACCACACCGCACCGGAAGTGTTGCCGCGTCGAACGTATTTCAGTGGAGAGCCAAAGCCCGCACAATCCCTTAAAACATTTTTAAAGCGATTAGCAGAAACGGAAGTCAGATTCGGAATCAGCGTTCCAAGACGAGTGTAATGATATACAACTCATCTCAAAAGGCCACGGACACCGAGTATCGTTTCCTTGTAAGGCCAAAATGAGAGGAATCTGGAAGAAAAAAACCTATGAAAACGGTCAAAATTCTCCAACCCCCGCCGTTTTTTTTTGATGTATCCAGAGTTGTCATAAACACACCCTTCATCATGATATTACACTTTCGACATTTCTACCTACCACAAGGCTTATTTTAAAGCTCATCATCTTCAGACAACCCATGTTGATGGGCGGAGCCACCTAAGCCGCTTTTACCTTTGGAGCAAAATTCTCGTCTTAGAATCTAACATTTGCAGGAGAATTGTAATAACTTAATTACGGAGATTCGCTGTTATACAGCATCAACATGTCAGAATCCTGAATCTGAGTGAATGCTGCCTTCTAGAGCTTTGTTAACTGGATTCCCTTTCGTAGAGCTTTACTTTTACGTTGGAAGCCGGTTGGCCCCTGCTGATTAGCTTTCCTTGTACTGTTACAGATTGGTTTCTGCCAATTCTTAACGACGCTAGAGAGGATCCGACAAAGCAAACGCATCTCAAAAAGATATTTTGCAAACTGGATATCAGGAAACGGTTTTTATGATAGTATAATCCAGGCTGTCGCGAAACTTCGTTAACACCATATTCAGAAAATTCAAATTTCTCTTTCTTTTTTAAAAAATTTGCACAATTCCAGCTATATTCGAAAAGCAAATTCATGCTCTACAATAGTCTTTAGAAATTTTCTGCAAATTATGCAGAGATAGAAGTGTAGAGTACTCAAATTGTAGTTTTTCTGTGTGGAGCTGCCAAAAACCCGAAACCTGCACTGAAAGTCGGATTAGTGAAAGAACTTTCGGGTCAGTCTAATAGTATTTGAGCAGCGCCACCCCTATGGATGACGACTAGAAACAAAAAGTGTACAAGTTGTTTTATCCCAAGAAACGGTAGTCGCGCATAGCGAAGAAAAATTCTGGACTTAGCGGCATAACTGAAAGTCTTCCACAAAGAAAAGACCACACAGAAAATCTAAGTTCGTTCTCTTTCCGGCACTTTGTTGTATGCGCAACTGAGAGGGTCATCATTAAACCTCGCGCATTGGGTAATGAAAATTTTCTTTTAATGACGCCTACATAAATTGTTGATAAGCTTCAGAGGTTTTTCTACACAATTTTGGTGACCGCAAAGAACTTTACCTAAGACAACTTATTCTAGATTATACAGAGTGTCCAAAAGTAAGTACACAATTTTCAATCGTTGATATCTCTTTTCCCATTGTGTCTTTTTCCGCTTTTCAAGTAGCATTCTGTAGAGGAGGCTTCAACTTCTTAGACAAATCACCGGAACTTCCGCAGGACAAGGCAAATTTGCAGAAGTTCCGCAGATTTTTGTTCACTATTGCAAAAATGAAAACGTTGAAAATCGGAACTTCCGCGAGATTTTCATGCCAAACTGGTTGAAAACCGGAACTTCCGCAAAACCTTCTTCAAAATCCTGCGGGAATTCCGAAAAATGCCAGAGGTTTCGCAGCACTTTGGCCTGCCAGAACTTCCGCAGGACTTTGAATATGTTGTCTCGTGATGTTGCCTCGTCAACAACTAGAGTGCATTATCAAACATGTCAGCCGTAGCGTAGAGGATAGTAGGTGGGTCTCACAGTCAATAGAGTGAGGTTCAATTCTCGCTTCGGTGTTCTCTTTTGCTGTTGTGGTTGGCATTCTTTGGAACTTCCGCAGGGCCTCATTTTGGAACTTCCGCAGCACGTTCGCGGAACTTCCGCAGGTGACCCGGCGGAACTTCCGCAAGCGCTCTGCGGAAGTTCCGGTCATTTGTCTGAGTTGGATTTACAGTATCAAGCGAACGACCGATCTTTCTTTATTACTGTGGGATTACAGTAGGAACTCCGACAAGGATTTCAGGCCACATTCTGCCTCGGAGCAAAACCAAACAAGCCAGAAACTCTTATACTGTGGTAACGGAAGGCGCTAATTTCGGATATGAAATTTCCGTCTTACTGTGTTGCTTCTTTCCATAGTTATCCCGGGTAAATCCTAATAATCGAATTACCAGTATTTATCAGAAATGTGATTACATAATCAAAAAAGCCGAAGACATTTGTAATAAGTTGTGTAGTGGAATCAGCGTGCGCGAAAATCCTAGTATACTTTTTTCAGATTTTTGAAAAAAATTTTGTCAGATGGCATGTTTCACAGTGGTTACATATGTTGGAAGTTCTTACCGTGACCCTATGGTAACAAAGAGCGATCGGTGTTTTGTTCAATACTGTAAACCCGAGTTGAAGCCTATTGTACAGAATGGTGCTTGATTGGCAAAAAAAGGCCCATTGGGAAGAGAGATTATGGCGGTTGAAAAGTGTGTACTTACTGTAGTGCTGTTCTGCCAACCAGGTTGTTATGGTGGACCTTTATTGACCTTACGTTTTGACAAATATCGTCTTCTTCGGAGGTCTCTAGTCCACCGTGGAGTCAGTAGTCCGCGGACCTTGGAGTCAGTAGTAATTCCGTGCGGACTACTGACTCCACGGTGGACTAGAGACCTCCGAAGAAGACGATATTTGTCGAAACGTAAGGTCAATAAAGGTCCACCATAACAACCTGGTTGGCAGAACAGCACTACACATATTCGATACAACATGCCCAGGTTACGAGATGAGAGTACGTGGAAAATGTGTATTTACTTTTGGGACACCCTGTACATTGAGAAAATGCATCAGGAGTGTTAACTGTTCAATGAGCGAATAGGTGAAAACGATGGCATGTTATTAAGGCACCAGAAGCACTAATCACGAAAACCACCCTTTCCTTGATGGGCTTGTATCTCCAGCGATCGAATGGTGCTCTGATCATAATGGTAAAGCAGATGGGTACCAACCAAAGTAATGCGGCTTTGAAAATAGCAAGAAGGACTTTTCAAAAATCGGAAACGCTTCAGCCTAGCTTACACATTACTATCACCAGGCTAAGTATGGCCCACAAGGGTGTAGGACCCCCTTGTGGGCCGTCCCTAGGGCATGTGTTCCTTGTTCACCAATGGTTACTCGTTTTTTAATGCGAATTTTTCTCGAATTAAGTTGTTTGAGGAGTTCAGAGTCTGTGGTATTGAAGTGATTCTGTTTGGCTCGTCAGTTGATGCAGGTGTAGGTTCGAATCTTTTCTTGTTTTTCAATTTTGCATTGCCTTAATAAACTTCCTTTCGCATCTTCGAGTTAACTGAACGCCCTTAGTCTTCAAAAAATGTGGAAATTTGGAAAAAAAATGATTACTATTTGCGCTAAAATGTATCCAATGACCATAACTTGAGCAAATCTCGAACAAGTTTGATTTAAGCAGTGCAAAATAAAAACACAAAAGGATGAACCTACACCTGCATCAAGTTATGAGGCTATCACACTAACCACTAGACAATAATGTGGCGCCGGTAGAGGCCGTTCTGGTGACCATACCCTTAGGCGGCCAAAGTTGGCTCGAAATTCCTCCATAACTTCTTTCCGAGAAAAGATTAGCAGAAACGGAAGTCAGATTTGGAATCAACGTTCGAGGACGAGTGTAATGGTATACATCTCGTCTCAAAAGGCCATGGACATTGAGTATCGTTCCCTTGTAAGCACAAGCGTCCATCATTCCCTTGCTTTGAAACCGATTTGTTGGTGCTAGTTAATCTAAACTCCTCGATACGAATGAGGTTGTTATAAAAAGATGACTAACACTACGAACAACGGTTTATTTAGTGGGGAGAGCTTGCCACAATGCAAAGTCAATATGTTTCCCTTTTGACTTGAAGCACTCTTCCATGCAGTTTACGTACCATTTCTTCACCTTATCGTCACCTATTACTTTACAGGAGAACCGAAGATTATCGAGTTCTGCCCAGCATCCAACCTGGCACTGTAAAGCGAAATATTAGCAGCAATCAGTTGATGTTGAAGCAAACTTCTAACCTGCTTAATCAAGTTTTTGGTAACCTCATCACTACCAGATGGTTCCAGTACTTCTATAGGGAGCCACGAAGGGTCAGGTAAATCGAACGGGGGGCACGGTAATCTGGGAGAATCGATCGTCGGTGGTGGAGGTCGGGGATAATAGCCATGAGGCATTGGTGGTCTGATACTTTGAGGGGGTTGCACTACACTACTGACACCATTTTTGCCAGCTGATATGGGAGATATGGGAGCACTTGCCACTGAATCGCCTATAATCTTAACGCGAACGTTCGGATTGCCCCCGCACACGGATACCAGAATCGCAAAAAGCAGCTTGCAGAGCATGTTGTTCACTGAAAGAAGCAAATTATTGTGGTTGAAACAAGTACATTGGCGAAATCTATCGAAACATCAAAATTATGGAGTTTTTCCCTTTTGTTCTTAGATGATTTTAGAACACAGAATTCATACACTATGTAAAAAATTGTAGATGGGTTGGGGTTTTCTCAATTAATGAAGAAAGTGCACTAAATGACCAGCATCTGTGAAGGAAGCTACACAATGTCACATTGGCGTTGTTTGCAAATGTAGTTGTATTCAGCGTGCACCAAAATGGCACACAGGTTTGATCGTGATAGTGCCCCTGTCTCTGAAGCTATTGAAGTTACAGGCATAAATTGTAGAACTTTTTCTCATTAGATGCTCATGACTAGTAGAAAACAAATCAGCATTAAGTCTTCAATACTGTGGAATACAATAAGAATTTTCAAGAAGATTGCCAAAAGCGAAGTCACTATCTAGCCTAGAAGAGAGACAATCGCTTTGGAATAATTTAGCCCAGTTCGTGTACTAGCTTCTGCTAACTTCTGGTACTGAAAAGTCGAATTGGTAAAGGCGGCCATTGGGCCAAAAAAGAATGGACCACTCTTCGGAGTCAGTTTCGTGCTTCTGGTGTCAGATAGATGTTTGTGCATTTGTGTAACCTACAGTGGGGGAAATCAACATTGCTTCGGAGGGATTCTTTTTTGAGATTTTTTTAATCGTTTTCTGTTGCTAAAATTTCATGCAAGTTTGATAAGCGATAAATTCCCAGTTGCAAATTTCCGGCTGTTGAAGTGGTGCACGACTAGCGATTCATGTTTTGCATTGAGAAAAAAAGTACATGAAGTAAAAAAAATTTATGGAAAAGCTTGAGGCTGATGTGGGTTTTGATCATTTTACTTGCTTTCAATATAATTCTGCAAAATGCAAGAAAGTGACATAGTGGTTAAGCCATAGACATAATTACTTTACGTTCCTTGATTGACTATACCTTTATCGTACACAACAAAGGAAAGATATATTTCGATGTTGTCAGGGCTCGAAAAAATGGCGAAGCAGGGAAAGATTGCGTTTAGGTACAAAACATTTTGCTAATGAAAAATTGGGTAGCCTAAACTAGACTTGTGTTTATGCAGTTTGCCTACACTTTTATGAATTTGTATGCTTGTAAGTGTACACATATGGATATTTTAGACTATAGCATTTGCGCAGTTGCTTTGTTGAACGTACATAGTCCTTGTTAAAATAAAAAACGTCGATTTCTTCTGCCGGTGAGCATTGTCACGTAGAACATTACTCTGAATAAATAATTTTTTATATAATGTCAACAGCACCAAAGAACTTCAATTTTATATTAATTCATAATTGTGCATTTGTTCAGCAGTTCCACCTACAGCAAATGTCTACATGGTTTATGGTCGATGGCCATGATAAGCTTCCAATCTCCATGGGTTTTGGGCCACGTCTGACTTGTGATCTAGGAAGTAACCGTAATCGAGCCAATAACCAACCATGCACTGCAAAAGGAGACGTATATCAAGAATTGCAAAAAATTGAAAACTTCTGACCCGGTTACGTTTATTATTTATGAGTGCATCGTGATATGGGAGGCGCTGCTGCTGCTGCGGGCGTGCACTGCTACCAGAACTGCAAAATTAACAGCTTGTTGAACAGCTTGTTTACTTAGCTAGCTTGAGCATTTTGTATGGTATTTTTCAAAGAACCCCCTTAACTCTAAGTTATGTTGAAAAATGATGACTTTTAGAGAAATCTCCCCTCTTGACCCGACAGCTATCAGAAGTGTGAACATTAACAGCTTGTAGAGGAATATATTGATCGTGTCATCACTGATGACAGCGGACCATTTTAATTATGTTGCTGATAGACGCGAATTTTTGGCAATAACGAATACATTGATGAGATTTCAAAATAGGAATGAAATCACTGTAACTTTCATATGCAGCAACCTTGTTAGGTCAAATTCGCATTTGCTGCTGGAGGTGGAGGTGAACTCCATTGCAACACTGCTATGTTTGGCGATTACACCCGGGGTTAGGTATAGGTTGCTTCAGATGTCCTTATCGTTTGGTATAACTGTGTAAGCAGTCGCTTGCCTGAGCGTATCTAGCGCTTTCTATCAAGGATGACTTAAGAGCAGTCTGAACGCATGTCCACGATCTGGGCTTCGACTTTTTGTAAAATTCTCCGGAATGTGCTTGCTGAGAAAGAAATACTTGTTTGATTCTGGTTTTCGTTTTTGAGATAGCAACTTCTATGACTATAAGTTGACGCATTAACAGCATCAACAGCATACATTTCAAGCGATAATGCTAATTTACCTGGGCTTGCAGATAATATTAGGTTGGCTAAGAATAATTTCGTTTGGCATAAAAATCTTCATAAAATTTCTTTGTTGTTGTCCATCCATAATTTTTTGTGAGGAGGCGCAAGGGTTTTTTTATTGGATTAGTATAGCTAACTGAAAATAGCATTTCAAGGCATCTCATGACTTTCATTTTGATTATTACGTACAAAAAGTGTATTTACCTGTCTATTATTCAGGCGCACGCCAAAACCGACATGGAATCCTTTTCCCACTATTGAAAGTTATCCCATTGGGAAAGACGGAGTCCCAAACCAGCGTACAACGCAGCTACTGCTAGGCAGCGCAAATTTCACAATGATCTGTCCTTGTTAGCTACTCACATCAACAAAAATTCAGAAAAGACAGATTGTTGCAAAAAAAATGTGTCGCTCTAGTCTTTCAAGCAGCTGCAATCCACTTCTTGAAAACTCATATGGATTCGAGCACAGAGCTAAATCGCTTCTAATAAAATCTCAGGAACGTTTTTAGTCATTTTAAGTTCTTTTTTTCGACTTTTCTGGATGAGATAGTTTCAAAACTAAATATGTGCAAAAGCAGCAAATCATCTGCCAACCAGCTATGTAAATTTGGTAATTGAGAACTTTTTGACTAAAGATTTGAAAAGATTCTGGGAAGGCTTACTTTTCAGCAGTGTTTGGAAAGATGTTCTACCTCGCTCAAAACAAAAAAAGTACCCAAGTTGATACAAATTTATTATTTTGTTTATCTGTGCGATCTAAAAATATGCAGCGTGAATGAAGCATGAGAGGAGAGAAGAATGGGTTGAAACGTAGCATTATTATAATCAGATATGTTAGGCGCTCATACGTCACTTCATTTTCACCTTCCTGGTTTTATCGTGCATCCCCAGAATTGTTCCCATATAAACCGTCAACGTGGCTGCCTTTTGATCGTTTATACGTTGACTCCACAAATCTTAAGCGCTCATTAGAAATTGACATGTTAAATTGATCGAAAGACAGCCACGTTGATGGTTTATATGGGAACAATTCTGGCGGATGCACCATATATGCTTGTAAGTTTACACAGCTTGTTATGAACTGGAACGTGTCAGCGTAGTCCTCATTACATACTTGTACACCAATCTTGATGAAAAAGGAGCACTTTGGCATAGTATGTTAAGAGCGAATACGAATACTCACGAAGAATGCCGTTTCAGCCGAAGGCCATTCGAGATGAGATAATGGTGCTGAAGTTATGGAAATTATGGAAAAATTATGGAGATTCGTCATTCAGAGCAGACCTTGCAAAATCATTTGATTACTTTCTAAAGATATCATTTGCTTGCGTCTATGCTTTTCTCGTAGGAAAATGACTTTTCTATGACTGAACTTGCAAATTTTGGTTTTAGCTGTACTCTATAATCGAGGTCCTCAGCAAATCACTGACTGAAGGCAAGGTCTCGTCAGAATTTCGTTTTCCAATCTTTCACTTTTTCGGAGTCTTCGCGCCGTGAGCAATCCATATCTGGGATTTTTAGAGCATGAAAATAACGCGAACGAGTTTTTCCGAAGTTTTCCAAGTCCGCATTTAGTGAAGATACGCCGGAAGTCTTTCACGCCCCTCCTCCCCCGTTTCTGGTCCCCGCCCACTTACACTGTTTTCCACCGATTGCGTACTTGGAAAGCTATTGCGATTGCGATTGCGTACTTGGAAAGTATTGGAAAGCTTCTGAAAAAACTCACTTTCGCCATTTTCATACGCTAAAAAGCCCAGATATGAAATCCTCATGACGAAAAGGCTCCAAAAGGTGAAAAAACTAGAAGACGAATTTCCGCCGAGACATTGTCTTTAAGGTGTACGGCTGCACTATGGCCAACTGCACTGACTGAGAGAGGGGTCAACTGTCAAAATGAACGGAGTTGTTTTCTAGAAAATCGGCAGCTTCAAGGGCTGTTTGTACCATGTTCTACTATTAACAAGCCCAGCCTTTCCTTCTATAAGCGTGTCGAACCTTGCAGACTTATCCAGTTGGAGAGAAGTTTATCCAACGACGAAAAAATCAAGGAAAACTTCTGTATGAAGTACTATAATGATTCAGATTTTATGCACCTGTATCACATCTGAAACAACGAAAGTCGACGTGGTCTGCTCCATCATCAAATAATGCCCGATACATAGTACACTCATACAGTATAGACGCATTTCCGCAAACAAATACTCGGGAATTTTCTAGGAAATTGCGAGTTTGCAAAGCCAAAACTCATTCTTCTTTCATCTTTCAAAAAATAGCCCTTTTAGGAGAGCACATGTGGCAAAAAAATTATTTTCGGTTATTTGTAACTCGTATCGATAGACGGGTAAGGTATTGCCTAGAAAATGATCAAATGCAGTGAATAGTAGTAGTAATTAGCTGAAATACTTCGTATTTGAGGGAATGCTGAGAAATAGGGACAAACACATAAAATAAACAAAAATAAGGCATAAGTATTGAGTGTTGCGTAGCGAAACATAGAAACAGAAATTAGAAATTTGTTTGTTTTTGGTATAATATAGAATAAACCTCATCTGTAAGAAAAATAGAATTTGTTTTGCATACATTTTTCTTACAATTAGCTACAAAACAACAGTGTGCTACCGATCTTCATCAAGAATCTTCAAATTGAGGCAGGTTCGGATTGAGCTGGAATTTTTTGTTTAACGGGACTGAAAGGAAAACAGCAGACTTCGAGAAACCGTGCAAGTTTCCCAAAGTTTCTGAATCGACTACTAAAACTTTTCTCAACGTAACTCATTTAAGCCCTGATATGCTGTCAAATAAATGTTACAAAGTGCAGGACGAAGCTGGTTCCAGGCAAGACATACCGCTTCTTTGATGAGCCGTTTGGTTAACACATTAACGACCGCTTGACACACATCTGGGGCAAACTCACTTCAGGAGTTTTCTTTTGTGCTAGATCTAGAATTAACCTCCATCGAATCTGTCAGCTTTACAGAGCTAGTGTAGGTGTACTGCAGATGACAATATACATGATTTTATTTGGAAAATCTTGGTTGAATTCGGATGGAACCTATTGGAGACATATAGTCCATCATCGGTTAGCTGCATCTACTTATTCTTGCCAGTACTCATACAGTGCTGGCCAAAATTATAGGTCCACTCTAAAAAACGCCATAACTCACTCTGTTGTGAATGAAATTTTCCAAAATTTGGTAGAGACGTGTGTTTACCAGCCTAATATCAATCTTCAAAACGGTTCTCGTTTTCGTTTGATTATTCAAGAAAAAATTAGAAATTTTGAAAAAAGCAGGCTTGAAGGCTGGACAAAACTATAGGTCCACCTGGAGTTTTTACTGATCAAAGCACTTCTTAGCTCCCGAATTTTTTTAGGTAGGCACACATCCAAAAACGTTAAACAGCTGCATTGGTCAAGCTGTATCATACCTCCAAAAAGAACTGATTATCTGCTTTTTTGCCTTGAAGATGCACTTATATGTATTTCGCTCCACAAACCTGCGTTGAGTAAGAAATTCTGCAGTTTCTCAGCTGGATCGGAAGAAACGGGGTTTCATCTATCTTCTGGATGCTTTTTGACGTGAGCATTGAGGAAAAAATCCGACTTTTTGCTGCTGAAGCAAATCTGACATCGGCTTAATCGGCAGAGTAAGCCTCAGTTTTTGCACTAAAACCCTTTATGCATTGTCATTATAACCTCAAGATATTGTAGAAGCATTTTTTTACACAAGAATAAAGCTGTTCGCCATACTCGCAAGCGTCCACAAAGCTGCCTTGCTTCTTTTTCGAAGCATGAGTTGGGTGTGCAACGTAATAATGGTGTTACGCGATCCAAAATAGCTTTCCAAGTTCTACCCCACTTAGATTTTTGACAGCAATTAATTACTAGATAGTGGATACAGCTTGATTCTTCTGAAAATTTTTCGGAGCCACAAGTAGCTTTGGTGCTTGTCGTAATCAGTTTCTGCAGAGTGATTTCAGTAATTATACTCGAATGCTAGGATCTCTAGAAAGTTGTAACTATGGTATACGGACTCCCCTTCATAGAAACAATGCCTTTACTCTACTCAATGCTTCTGAGAACATTGTAAAAGAAGTTTGAAGGCAGAAATTTGAGCTCAGGATTGCAGTACTGTCAATATCAGATTTGCTTCAGCAGCAAAAAGTCGGATTTTTTCCTCAATGCTCACGTCAAAAAGCATCCAGAAGATAGATGAAACTCCGTCCCTTCCGATCCAGCTGAGAAACTGCAGAATTTCTTACTCAACGCAGGTTTGTGGAGCGAAATACATGTGAGTGCATCTTCAAGGCAAAAAAGCAGATAATCAGTTCTTTTTGGAGGTATGTCACAGCTTGACCAATGCAGCTGTTTAACGTTTTTGGATGTGTGCCTACCTAAAAAAATTCGAGAGCTAAGAAGTGCTTTGATCAGTAAAAACTCCAGGTGGACCTATAATTTTGGCCAGCCTTCAAGCCTGCTTTTTTCTAAATTTCTAATTTTTTCTTGAATAATCAAACGAAAACGAGAACCGTTTTGAAGATTGATAGTAGGCTGGTAAGCACACGTCTCTACCAAATTTTGGAAAATTTCATTCACAACAGAGTGAGTTATGGCGTTTTTTAGAGTGGACCTATAATTTTGGCCAGCACTGTATAGCCTCATTCTTTCTACACTGTCGTAAGAAGCAGCTCTGATCATAAATTGCTAAGTCAATAAATTCAAAATCCGCGATCCAAGGCAAAATTTCTGTAAGTAAGGTACACTACTGTTACGATATGATACATGTGGATTTGCTGTGTCCTTAAAGGAACTAATTGCCTGATCAAACTTCATATAACATAGGTGTGACATGATGCTGCCTAAAGACAAGCGTCCATCATTAGAACTGGTTTGTTGTTACTATAATACGGTATGATTGATCTCAACTTCCACAATGCGGCTGAAGTTGTTATTAAGAAATGACTAACACCACGAACAACGGTTTATTAAAGAAGCGCTTGCCACAATGCGATGTCGATATGTTCCCCATTCGACTTAACGCAGTCTACATATGCATTCTGCGTACTTCGTCCTCGCCATTGCGTCATCACCGTTACAAGCCTGGTTGATTTCTACCCAGCTATCAACAAGGCACTGTAAAGCGAAACTTTAGCAGCAAACAGTTGATTTTGAAGTAAACTTCTAACCAGCGTATTCAGGTTAGCCTCAACACTTTCGCATTGTTGCAATTTTTTGAAGCACTCATAAACATACGGTCGTCCGTGATGACCGTTGCTCGCTGGTCCGGGATAAAGAGGAGCCATTGGTGGTAGTCGGGCACCGAGCCCCAACGAGACTTGGGATTCCGCTACATTACTGAGACCGGGACCAGCCTCGCCACCTGATATGAGACCACTTTCCACTGCTGGGCTAACAATGGGCCGCTTTTTGTCCCCGTACACGGATACTAGAAGCGCAAAAAGTAATAGCTTGCAGAGCATGTTGTTCACTGAAAAAAAACAAATTATTGTGGTTGAAACGGGTATATTGTTGGGATCTATAGAAACATCAAAGGTATAGAGTTTTTTTTGTTGATCTTGGATGACTTCAGATAATAGAAATTTACCCACTATGTTCAAAGATCTAAATGGGTTGGCATTATTTTGATTAACGAAGAAAGCGCACTAAATGACCAGCATTTGTGAAGGAAGCTACAAAAAATTACATCGGCGTTGTTTGCAAATGTATTCGTTTTTAGCGTGTCCTAAAATGGTACACAGGTTTGATCGTTGATAGTTCGCCTGCTTCTGCAAACCTATTGCGAAGTTACAGGGATAAGTAGAACTCTTTTACATTAGATGGTTAGTAAAAAACAAATCAGCAGTAAGTCTCCAATGCTGAGGGACACAATAATAATTCTCAAGAAGGTTGCCAAAACGACGTCACAAATTGAGCGTAGAGAAGAGAAAATTTGAAAAAAGTTGGCCCAGTTTCGGTATAGTAGCCCCTTCCAAGTTCCAAAGGTCAAATCGGTAAAGGCGGCCACTGGGCCACCTACCAGAGGCAATTTTCGTGCTTCTGGCGTTAGATATATGTTTAAGCATTTGTGTAGCCGGAAGCCTACAGTGGGGGGGGGAAATCAACATTAGTTCGAGGGATTCTAATTTTGAGGGTTTTTTATATTTGAATGTACCTTTATTGCACACACCTAAAAGGAAAGATATCAGGTCGTCCCGAATCTTTCGCACTTCAGAAATTTATAACTTCTGATTTTTTCAACTGATTTGTCTGCTTTTATTTTCACATGAAAGAGTAAGTCATGTTCTTTACAATGACATCTTGACTGCTTATTAATGGTCATCTGTTGCATAGATAGGAGCAGTAGAAGAAAATTAGTCAAATCCGAATTTTCTGTGTAAGGTCATAAAAAAATCTGAAACTTGCAATAAAAATCTGTGCAGTTGGTATTATAGGTAGTATTACCTGCTTTTTCAAACTGTGCAGAGATTGTGCTGATTAAACGTCTCTATCAAAAGTTATGAATACGAGAAAAATGGCGAAGTAAATCAAAATTGCCTTTTTGTAATGCTTGCTCAAAAATCATAAGTTCTTAAAAATGTTCAATCAGGACAAACTTTCCACTGTTAGAAAGAGCGGGTAATAGAACCTATAATACCAGCTGCTCAGATTTTTATTGCAAGTTTCAGTGTTTTATGACCTTTTTTTATGACCACAGAAAATTCGAATTTTGGATAATTTTCTCCTACCGCAACAAATGATCATTAACAAGCAGCCAAGATGTCATTGTAAAGATCATGACTTACTCTTTCATGTAAAAATAAAACCATACAAATCAGTTGGAAAAACCAGAAGTCATAAATTTTTGAAATTGGTGCGAAAGAACTTTCAGGACGACCTAATATAATTCAATGTTATCGGGGTTCGAAAAAATGGAGAAGAAGGGAAGATTGCTCTTGGTTACAAAAAATCTTGCCAATGAAAGAATGAGTAACTTACTAAACTAGGACTTGCTTTTGCAGTTTGATCACACGTTCATGAATTTATATGCTGCTAAGTGTGCACAGATGGCTACTATGAACCATAGCATCTGCGAATTTTGCACGTGTTCGACATAGTCCTTGTTTTATACCAAAAACGTCCATCTTTCTGACTGCGGGGACATGTTTGAAATATCCCATGTAGAACAGTACTTTGAATAAATTAATTATTATATAATGTCAATAGCACCAAAGAACTTCAATTTTATATCGATTCGTAATTTTGCACTTGCATCAAACATTCCACCAACAGCAAATGTACATGGTTTATGATCGATGCCATGATATGCGTCCAATTTCCATGGTTTTGGGCCACATCTGATGTTTGATATAGGAAGTCTTGAGGCTGACTGGGACAGACTGTATTTTAATTTGGTCGGACAGTTTTCATACTGGCCGATTGCTTCAAAAGAAGTGTCTGGACAAGCGGGGGGGGGGGGGGGTTGGGATTTCAGTGCCATCCCAAATTGGGCCTCCTCGGACACACCATCGCGCAAGGGCGCCCATAACGTAGCAAAAGCACGAACTTAGGTCGGAAAGATAGAAAATTTACGCTCTGGGGCGGGCCCCTTTATCTGTTCAATTTCCTACTATGCGGCAGAGTAATGCCGCTACAGTTAAAGCGTAGGGTCCGCAGCTCGGCATCTCAACCTGTATCGGGCGGGATCGGTTCGACTCGTCCCAATTCAAAATGTAAGGCTTCGGAAACACATGTTCTCGCCTTTTTTGCGCTCACTATTGTGATTTTTGAGTTCTTTCAGCTTGCGAAGAATTCAGGTAAGTGAATTTGCTAGAAATCGAGTTTTTGCCTGGACACAGCTTTTGAGGCCTTTACCTGTTTGATTTCCTGATATGCGGCAGAGTAGTACCCTGGCAAAAATGAGGGAGGGGAGGATGAACTTTTGACGAGGTACAGTCAAAAGTACGGTCCCAACTAAGCCATTACCCAAGCCCGAAGTCATGATTTCACATAGAGTTGATTCGGATCAGGCTCAGCAAGTGCCTCTGTAGATGACTTGAAAATAGTTGTCTACGATTCATTCGTTAGTCAGCATTGCGCGGTGAGTTTGAATGCCATCATTATGTGAGACTGAGTAAGGCATGTAAACAGTTTAACCAGTGTGAGCTTTTGCGAAGCACAGGAAAATTGGTAATAAAATCGTTTCAGAATATACTTTTTCCGAAGCAAGTTGCGGCATATAGAATTTGGAGACGCGTGATTTTTTCCAGAATTCGTTAACGTAAATATCTCTTTCGGAAAGAAGTTTGCGGCTACACTTTATCGCGCTATGGACGATTTCCCAGCCAAGAACCTTTGACATCCCTGAGCAAGAAGACGATATCAATTTTCCACTACCGACCGCGTTTTGCCGACTTTTCCAGAAATGTTATTGGATTTCCGCTTCAGAATCAACTTTTCCGCCTTCGTTCCTTTCAAACTTTCATTTTTGGTTCAGCTTCTTAACATAATGTCTTGCTGGATTTCTCAATTTGTCATGTAGCTGGGTAAAACATTATAGAGGGATTGGCTCGACGAATACTTGAACTGGAAAATTCTCGCGCACGTGGAGTTATTCGATGCACTGACAGTGGGAGGGTGAGAGGAGGGGTTGTAAGGGTAAGGGTCGAAAGAAACCTCGTAATTTTTGGCAGCGAAGGGAACTTCGTTTATGAAATCTTGAAGACCGACTCAAGTCGAGTCCTGGTGATAGGTTTTGCCAATGCCTGGTTTTCGGAATTAACACGTTGACGACGAGCCATTTTTTGAAGGTCTGTCCCTGTGGACGAACCGTTTCCCGGCACTTTCACAGCTGGCTGCATGTATGTTTGTATGCATCTATGCGTGAGATACAAAAATGCAGGTGGGCGGGGCGGCTCCGCCCACTTTTGGCAAGCCCCGCCCACTTTTCAAAAATGCTGGAAATTGCCCAAAATCAATAAATTCGTGCAAATTCCGGCATTTTTGAAAAGTAGGCGTGGCTTGCCACTCAGGGGGCGGAGCTTGCCACTTAGGGGGCGGAGCTTGCCTGAAGGTGCGCGGGCCTGGCTGAAAGTTGTTTGAGGTCTTTGCGTTCATTTACGGCCTCATCCATGCTTTTTATGAACAAAAATGGCTCTTGTGGGAGGCATAGGAGTGGGCGGAGTTTGCCAAAAGGGGCGGAGCTAATATATGAAGTATATCTGAGCCTATGTTGATTATATGAACAAAAACTGAGAGGATTGGACAGATAGTATTGAAATTAAGGCCGCCGCGCACCATTGCGCGGCGTCGTCCACAGGGACAGACTGCCTGCCGCGCACCATTGCGCGGCACTGTCGTCAACGTGTTAAACTTGATTAGTCGAAAAAGTGCATTTGGCGCAGATTCTCACTTTAAAAGCAGTGGGCCATGTTTTGGCCCACTGTTTTTTCTAAATAAGGAATTTTTTGTGATAAGTTGCATACGTACATATAGAGCGTAACTCTATCTCTATCCACCTTTCAAAGATGAGCACATTCGATGACTTCGATGAGAGAATACGTAATATGTCCTTTGATACTCAACGCTATATCCCCGCTGCAAAGCGTTGGGACCATCGCGCTTTTGGGGATCTGGTGACAATTCTCTAACCCATTACAGCACAGCACATTTATTTTTGGCAGCCTCCCTTGTTTTACTGCGACCATACCTTTGATACATAGAGCCATGTACTTTGGTAATCTTTACTTTGAGCGTCATGATAGAACACAACATTCACTTGGAGAAAGGAGCAGAAGTCATTCGGGGGCAAAGCCCTGGATTTTATAACATAACTATTATATATAGATGAGCGTGAATGAGGCAAGTATATTGAGTGATATTTGTTTCAAAAAAAGCTCAGAAAACAAAAAAATTGTGTTTTTGTAGCCTTTTCGTAAAAATAGGTTTTTGTTCGAAGGATTCTCTGGGATTTAAAGCGACAATTGTCATTTACTCTTTTTATAGACTACGAGTGTGTTAAAAGTTCAAGAAAGCTCTTGGAGTTCGATAAAAAAAACAGTAAACTGCGCTCAAATCTTGCGCAGAGGATCGCCACTTAAGTGCTAGTTTATCTCGTCGTGTAGTGATTTTCAACACCCGCAACCTTATCACTGCTCCTGGTCGTGTCATGAGGATCACAACAATATACAGGGTGTCCCAAAAGTGTGTATACACTGTTTGATCACTGTTTAATATCTCTCTTCCCAAAGAGTCTTTTATCTACCTTAAGGTAGCATTTTGTAGAGCTGGCTTCAACTTACATAGATTAACAGTGTCTTAACTGACTCTAGATTAACAGTGACCACCGGTCTCTCTTAGATACTGTAGGATTATGGTAAAAACTTTTGACTTACAGCGTCATTGTGAATCAATCGTGTTTCAAAAGCGTTTCCAAAAAATTCCAAAAAAATGGTGAACCAGGGATTTTACGTGCGCTGATTTC